TATTATATTGTATTTTCGTGTATTATATTCAAATACATTACATTACATTACTAAAATACCTATAAATATATTATAAGTAAAAAAGACCCTTATTTTTTAACTTAGGATTATAAGGCTAATTATAAGGGTTATAAGGGAAAATTTTATATCATTAAAAAGAGCTAAATTAGCTCTTTCAAATGCCCCACTTTTTATTACTATAAGCTATTATCTTAAAAAGTTATAAGCAATTGAAAATTCGCCCCGCTTTACTTACTTTTTATTTTAAGACATAACTTTAAAGCTTAATATCTCGCTTAATATCCACATTTTAAGGTTAATTTTAAAATATTTAAAATCACGTGATTTTTAGCTTTATTTTAATATATAATATGCTTATATAAGCATTTATTTCTATTATTAGATATTTTATAGCCTTATAATACATTTATAGGTATTCTTATCTTGTAATGTATCGTAATATATTACAATATAATACATTACAATATAGTATAGTAAAAAATACAAAAAATACAATATATTTAGAGGTCTAGCTATTACTAGTAAAGAAAAAGGTTAGTATTATTGTAAGATTATAAGAGGGACTAGGAGTCAGGTAGCTAAAGTAGAGGTAGCTGTATTATAATAACTAAAGCTTATCCTATTTTCTAGTTATGCGAGATGCAAGGGATATAGTCCTAAAGCTCCCGTTCCACGTAACGTTATTAATCGCGTTATAGGTGAGCGGGGTCCTCTAACCACCTTATAATTATAAGGTAATTAAAGGCTAATTAAAGCGCTATTATTTATATAAGGCTAGTAATTACACTTATACGCTTTAATAAGCTTATTTCTTATTATATTCTTTAATCTTTATACTTAATATACCTTAAATAAACGCTAATCTTATATTAATAATTTTATTTTAGTCTTTATAATTAAGCGAAGATTATTAATACTAAACGTTAACGAAAAGGTTAGTCTTTTCTTACTTTAATATTATAATTTAAACGCTTATTTAAGTATATAAATATATAATTAGTATTATAAGGCGTTATAATTATAACTTAATCTTCTAGTAAAGCTAAACTCTATTTAATATAGTTTTCTTATTAATACTCTAAGCTTAATAGAGCCTTTAGCTTTAATAAATACCCTAGAATTATAAAAGGTAGCTATTGTATTTAAATTTATTTAGTCGCTAAAAGTAGCTATAGCCGCTATATTTAGGTTCGTTTAATTACTAAAGGCCGCTATAAGCTAGCTTTAAGCAACCTTAATTAGGCTCTTAGTAGCCTTAATTAGACTCGTAGTAATATTTAGGCTTTAAAGGCTACTAAAGCTAGCTAAATAGCTGCTTTTAGTACCCTATATTCAATAATAGGTTACCTAAAATAGCGGGTTATATAAAATAGCGGTTTAGCGCCTTTAGTAACGCTTCTAGTAGCTAGGTTCTAGTTATAACCCGCTTATAATAATAGGTTTAAGCTTACTAAACTTATATAAAACTTAGGTATATAAGCTATATTTTTTAGCTTAAAGAGACCCCTTATAGTCTCTATAATAACTAGAGTATTAACAAAAAAACTACACTATATATAGTTTTTTAGTATAGTTTATAGTATAGTATAGTTTTTATAGTTTTAATATAGTTTAATTATACTATAATTATATTTATAGTGTAATATATAATTATAAAGGGAAATTTTAATTATAAATATAACGTTAATTATAAGACTTATAAGGTTATAATTATTATACTTAAATAAAGCTAACTTAACTCTTTATAATACATTAATTCTTATACGTTTAACTTATAAATTAAGTGAGTTATAATAAGTTAAACTTTAATTAAAAAATTTAAAAATAAAAAAGTTAAGTTAG